ATGCCTGCCATCTATTCAGCAGAGCAAAACTGGTATTGAGTCCTTAGGGATTAAACTGTTTGCATCCAAGACTTTGAATGTAATGTCATAATAAGTTCTAGCAAGCGCAGGCATTGAGAAACCAAAACAAATTTATGAGGAAATTCCTTTCCCTTAGGTTTCATAAATTTCCACTACTGTCATTATTCCATCACTGTCCAATACAATGGGCACAGAGTTCTAAGTAATTGCCATTATCTGAGAGAATGCCTTGTTCAAGACCTCATCACTACAAAATTATGACAAAAGCATGTCATTGTCAATGCTGCTTCGTTTAAACGATTTGACCACTGCAGGTTGAGGGTGATATCAAACTAAGTCCTACTTGGAGCAGACCCTTTGAAATCAATTTAATATCACGCTGACTTATTTACTAGTCCCAATATTTTCTGTTCCCAGTCCAGAGAAGCATTAGATGCACCTAAGTCCTATTGAAATCAATTAGCTTAGAGGTTTAGGAGCACTAGCTGGCGAACCAATATTCTGGTCGTCTTCCAGTAATTACTGCCGGTAGTTTGTATAGCTACTTCTACTTTTCTTGCTGGTTTACTTAACTGCCCTCCACAAGACCTATATAATTATTGTATTTCCAAAACAGAACAATATCTTTTAAATACTGCAGCGGTACCTATTTACCTACTCGCGCTGGTATGCTTTCAAACTGCTAGGTTGTCAGGAGCTAGGAGAGAGCAAAGGGAACTCACCTCGCTGCATGGTCTTGAAACTGGTGACCTTCTGATTCGCAAGCCCAAAGAGGCTAAGTGGTTTAGACGACGGTGCCACCCGTTCCCCTTGCTACTCAAATACATGAAGGAAAAACTGAAAGAATATTCTTCAAACTTTTTATCTCCCTTGTTGGGTTATTTCCAAATGAACCTTAGCATATTTACTTGGAAGTAAATCCTACTGTGTTCAATAGAGCTCACTCCCTTTTCGGTGTTTTTAAGATTGCTGTCCACATTGATGAACCAATGGTGGCCCATTTTTCATGGTTCTTGGTAGCTGATCAGCTGTTGTGGAATCTTTATAAACTGTCGTGGAAGCATGATGAGACTCTACATGTGGGTCTATCATTCTTTGTACCAGTGGCATTCAGATTTTAAAGTACACTTCTGGATATTTGTGATTTAGTTGAGGAAGCAGCTCTCTAAAATATTGCTGTGGAACCTCATTCTAAAGCCAAAACCATAGTGCTTTTCAACATGTTCAAGTCCATTTCTTTTGGCCGACTGTACCCAATTACCTAAATGCTATATTAAACAGAACGTTTGCTGAATTATTGATGATTCTGGTAACTCTAGAGAAGAGAGACCAACTGACTTACTAATTTCCTCAGGGCCTTTGTTAGAAATATCATTGCTTATACTGCATAAATAGCTGATCTAAAAATGAAAGAGGTTGCCGAGAGGGCCAGAAGGGATATTTTCATGAGAGAAAGTGAAGAAATAAACCTCATTTAAATACTGAAAGGTATTCATTCATCTCTCTACAAACTTGCTTAAATAAAATTGCAGTGATGCTTTCCAGATCTGTAAGATGCTTTGTTGTGGGGAATATATTTCTCTTATTGAACTGAAATATTATTATTTTTGCCTGCTAAAGTGAAAATGCAGTAGAAACAGTTCTCATATTCATAGTACTACTTCCTTTTATTTATTAGCTCTTGTAGTTGGATTTAAGAAAGAGAAATGTGCATTACTTGTCAATGGAATTAATGTTTCATTATGAATTAAAAGTTGGTTGTTGGACAATTTGCTTCTGAGGCCCATTCTTCCATAAGCAAGCTGTGACAAGTTTTCTCCAGGTATGGCCTTCAATCACATGCCTTCTACTGGTAAGTTAACTGCTTCATAGATATGCAGAGGTACAATAATCTGTAGTGGTTTGAATGTGGACTAGGACCTGGGAGAACAGGGTTCAAATTCCCACACAGCTATCTAGTTCACTGGGTGACCTTGGGCCAGTCATGGCTGCTCAGCTTAACCTGAGTGTTGTTATATGGATAAAATGGGAAGGGAATTAACCATGTATGCCGTCTTGAGCTCTCTAGAGGAAAGCGGGGATAAAAATATAACAAATAGATAAATAAATAATGTCACCACCAGGGAGACATGTTTTACAGGTGGGTATGCTTATCCACTGTATACATTTGTACATTTTTGCTTTTGTGTTAACTTGGAAGCTGCATTTCAGCATATTTATTTTGTGTTCATTATGTCACAGGGTCATTTCACACCATATGGTATAGGTATGGTATATACATTGAAAGCATAGGTCCCGAGACGTTGTTGGGACTACAACTCCTATCATCTCTGGCCATTGACTAAAATGACTGAGCCTGATAGTTGTTCAACAACATTTGAGAACCGAAGGCTGAAAAAAATGGTGCAACAGTGTTGAAGTAACTGTATGTTGTGTAGTTGCACACTCTCGATCCATTATGACTTCAATCCTATGTAAAATTAGACTAATTTAAGCCTAGTGATTTCAATAGGTTTAGACACAAATTTATACAGTGGCGTAGCGTGGGTTGTCAGCACCCGGGGCAAGGCAAGTAATTTGCGCCCCCTAACCCATGGATTTGCGCCACCTAACCCGTGGATTTGCGCCCCCTAACCGTGGATTTGCCCTAACCCCAGATGTTGCGCCCGGTGCGGCCGGCCCCCCCTGCACCCCCCACGCTACGCCACTGAATTTATATATGGACTTATAAAACTATGTGAAGGCAGCTCCACTTTATTATTGCGGGCACAATAACGTAAGACTGGTCTTTCTTGCAGTATGTGAGAGACAGACCTGCTTGTCTAAATATTTGTATACTATGTTGCATTCAGCTGGCTCTCTGCTGACTGCACTTTTAAAAACCCAGCTGTGCTGCTGCAGGAATCACCAGCGGCATAGCCAAAGCAAATGTATCTGCAGTTTAAACTGCTGAGAAGGATGTGCAGAACTAGTCCAATGAAGGGAAACTGTAAAACTGAATACACCCCAGATCTGAAATAAGGGTTGGTCGAACTTTTTCAGTCCTCCAACTGCTTGAAACTTGGGTCCCCAGCTGTTGTTGGACTACAACCATCCCTAGCTATCAGGACTGGTGGGAACAACAGATGGGGACCCAAATTTGAGAAACACTGTAGGGCAAGGTTTCCCAAACTTGGGTCTCCAGCTGTTTTTGCACTACAACTCCCATTATCCCTGATCACTCATCCTGCTTAGCTAGGAATGATGGGAGTTGTAGTCCAAAAACAGCTGGAGACCCAAGTTTGGGAAACCTTGCTGTAAGGTGTAATCTGCCTCTGAAGCCAGGAAACTGGGGAGACAGCACCCACTGTTGTGGAGATGGGGCATTTGGGGATATTTCTAGCCCGGGGGGGGGGGGAAGCATCCCTTGCAAAGTGCACACATTCAAAGAGGGACAATCACGTGTGTATTGACTGGGGTGGGGGTGATGGTTAAGGAGAAGCAAGCTCCCTGCTCTAAACGTCACGATCCAGAGATGGCAACTTGAATAAAATAATGGGGGGGGGGGGAGCCCTTCCCAGCATAATCGATCACATGACGTGGTGTAAGCACATCATTGGAATGGCAACTTTTTTTGGGGGGGGAATACAGTGGTACCTCGGGTTACATACGCTTCAGGTTACAGACTCCGCTAACCCAGAAATAGTACCTCAGGTTAAGAACTTTGTTTCAGGATGAGAACAGAAATCGTGCTCCGGCGGCGCGGCAGCAGCAGGAGGCCCCATTAGCTAAAGTGGTGCTTCAGGTTAAGAACAGTTTCAGGTTAAGAACAGACCTCCGGAACGAATTAAGTACTAAGTACTTAACCCGAGGTACCACTTTACTTTATTGGGGTGGTTCTAGACACTCCCCCTCGGCCACTAGGAGTCGGTTCCTAGGTCGTGAACCGAACCAGTCTATCAGGAGGAGTCTTTACTGAGGCAGCAGGAGCGTGAAGCCCATAACGTGTGTCTGTCTGGAGGCGGTTGGAGGATGGATGGCGGCTAACAGATTGAGATTGAATCCTGACAAGACAGAAGTACTGTTTTCTGGGGGACAGGAGGCGGGCAGGTGTGGAGGATTCCCTGGTCCTGAATGGGGTAACTGTGCCCCTGAAGGACCAGGTTCGCAGCCTGGGAGTCATTTTGGACTCACAGCTGTCCATGGAGGCACAGGTTAGCTCCATCTGGTACACAGGCTGAGACCTTATCTGCCTGCAGACTGCCTTGCCAGAGTGGTGCATGCTCTGGTTATCTCCCGCTTGGACTACTGCAATGCGCTCTACGTTGGGCTACCTTTGAAGGTGACCCGGAAACTACAACTAATCCAGAACGCAGCAGCCAGACTCGTGACTGGGAGCGGCCGCCGAGACCACATAACACTGGTCTTGAAAGACCTACATTGGCTCCCAGTACGTTTCCGAGCACAATTCCAAGTGTTGGTGCTGACCTTTAAAGCCCTAAACGGCCTCGGTTCAGTATACCTGAAGGAGCGTCTCCATCCCCATCGTTCTGCCTGGACGCTAAGGTCCAGCGCCGAGGGCCTTCTGGCGGTTCCCTCATTGCGAGAAGCAAAACTACAGGGAACCAGGCAGAGGGCCTTCTCGGTAGTGGCGCCTTCCCATCAGATCTCAAAGAGAACAACAACTACCAGACTTTTAGAAGACATCTGAAGGCAGCCCTGTTTAGGGAAGCTTTTAATGTTTGATGTATCACAGTATTTTAATATTCTTTTGGAAGCCGCCCAGGGTGGCTGGGGAAACCTAGCCAGATGGGCGGGGTATAAACAATAAATTTATTAATTATTATTATTATTATTATTATTATTATTATTATTATTGTGTGTGTGTGTGTGCGTGCGTGCGACAGGGAAAACAAACGGCGTGGAGCCCTTTCCCCGCGCTATTTCCCTTCCTTTCTCGCGTCCCCAACTTTTTCGTAAGGCGAAGTAGTCACGGTTACCTTTTTGCCTCCTCTTTCTGGCGGCGGCCAGGACGAGCTCTCCGCGCGTGTGTAGTAACCGCGCGCGCGGGGAGCCGGCGACGGCCAGCCAGCCAGCCAGCCTGCCTGCCGGGCGGCCGGCCGGCGGCTGGGAAGGAGGCAGGGCCGGTAGGCGGTGCGCCCGGCCCCGCCTTCTTGTCCTCGGGGATGCCGGGATGTTTACAGCCTTGACAGCGGCGGCACCAGGAGACGGAAGAGCGAGCGAGAGAGCGAGGAGGAGGAGGGGGGAAAAGAGGGAGGCTGAGGGCTGCGCTCCTTCTCTACACAAAACCCTCACCCTCCCCTCCCACGTAGTGCCGCGTCCCCGCCTGAGGGAGATTTAAAAAATAACTGAAACCGACGCCTGCCCAGCCTTCTGAGGTAACCGAAAGTACCGAGTTGGGGGGGGTGACGGAGGGGCGCGCGCGCGCTTGATGGGTGGAGGAGGCTGCTGCTACTACTGCTGAGGGAGAAATGACGCCGAGCGAGGAAACGGCTGAGAAGTTCGCAGGCCCCGCTCGGTAAACGGCCCCCGCTCTCAAAAAGAACCCCATCAACCCTCTTTTCTTTTTCTTTTTGGCCTCGGCGCCCGCGCGCTCGCTCCGCCACAGATACTTCGCCCGGGACCTGCTCGTGAGCGCGGCCCTCCCACCGGGCCATCTCCATTGGCTGCTTCGCACGGCGTCCCCGCCTCTCATTGGTCGCCGTCAGTGCCGTTTCCTTCCCCCCCCCACCGCTTCACGCGCTGGTTGTAAGTAAGACGAGGGTGTGTTGGTGTAGAGATGGGGGGGGGGGAGGAGGAAGCGACTGCGCCTGCGCGTTTTGGAGAAAAGAGTTCTCTGGAAAAGGGAAGGCGGTCATCTTCTGAGCTGGCTTCTGTCCCAATGCCCTTCCTTCATAGGGGCTCCCCTCCTATTTTTTTAGGGGGGGAAGTTGTCAGTTGTCAACCATAGTCACCTCCGCACCTCCCCCCACCCCGCTCCGTCTTTGGCCCTTGCATAAGTAAATAGGCGCGTATTGAAACCTTGGTAGAAGGCCATCTGCACTGAAGTTGCATAAGAACTCGCGCCAAAACTATTTTTGCTGGGGGGGGGGTGTCGCGTCTGTTTGCACTATAGTGGCAGGCTGGGGGTTGTTAGCAGCGCCAAGGGATTGGTGGGACAACAGCACACTTCCAAGTGTGGCGTGTGGAGGCGCCCCCACAATGAAGCACCGAGCGAGGTTCAAGACCCATGATTTCTTCCTCAGGCAACCTAAGGACTTCTGATGCTGGTGGTGAGGCTTGCAGTCCAGAAGGCAGGCTTGGGGTGAGGGCCCCGTAGCGTGGTTTGCAAAAGACACCAGCAGTCCTTTCCTGCTGTCATATCTTGTTCTTTTGTGCAAATTCATATTTATTTATTTTTTACGTGACTCAAAAGTGCATCGGCATGTTGTTTAGTCGTGTCCGACTCTTCGTGACCCCATGGACCAGAGCACGCCAGGCACTCCTGTCTTCCACTGCCTCCCGTAGTTTGGTCAAACTCATGTTGGTAGCTTCGAGAACACTATCCAACCATCTCGTCCACTGTCGTCCCCTTCTCCTTGTGCCCTCCATCTTTCCCAACATCAGGGTTTTTTCCAGGGAGTCTTCTCTTCTCATGAGGTGGCCAAAGTATTGGAATCTCAGCTCCAGGATCTGTCCTTCCAGTGAGCACTCGGGGCTGATTTCATTAAGAATGGATAGGTTTGATCTTGCAGTCCATGGGACTCTCAAGAGTCTCCTCCAGCACCATAATTCAAAAGTATCAATTCTTCGGCGATCAGCCCTCTTTATGGTCCAGCTCTCACTTCCATACATCACTACTGGTAAAACCACGGCTTTAACTATATGGACCTTTGTTGGCAAGGCGATGGCTCTGCTTTTTAAGATGCATAAGGAAGCAATTTCTCCCCTCTGCCTCCCAGGTAGCCATGTAATCCAAATTGGGGTGCGCTGACTTACGGGCTTGTACTTCATTATACACTGGATGTACACTGGGATAGCTCAGCTGGTAGAGCATGGGATTCTTAATCTCAGGATTGTGTGTTCGATCCCCACGTTGTGCAAAACATTCTTGCATTGAGGGGGTTGGACTAGATGACCCTTGTGGTCCCTTCCAATTCTACAGTTCTTTGATTATAATATCTCCATCCTTTCCTTCAGTTTCCCATCTGGGCTTGAGGGTATAAGTATTGGCATTGTGCCGTTGCTAAATGTCTGTGGTAGTATTTAAAACCCTTTTAATGTAAACCTCCAGCAATGTTACGCTGGTTAGCAGTTACACTGCAGCAAGAGACTTTACTGATCTTACAGTTTAGCCCTAACTGCCTGTTCTGAAGTAAGCCCAGTTGAATTTAGTGGGGTTATACTTCCAGTTCAGTGAGGTTAGGATTACAACATTCAGTAAGCTTAGACTATGTTGTAAAGTACAGCCTTAAATATACCCATCCTGTGTTGTTCGTGCACGTATAAAGCAGCGAATTACTTATCTGGAGGAAAATCATACTTCTCATCTTCCTGTTTGCAAGTTATTGCTATGTTTCAGTTACTGATAAAGAACTGAATTTGCCCTATTACTGGATGCATAGTTTCCAACTCTATATCTCGTTGCACAAAACACCAGTTTTCTTGTTTTGGCATCAGTTGAATAACTTTGCCATTTATAAACAAGGTATTGACGTTCTGAAATGTCGAGGAGCCAGAGCTGCATAAGATGCTGAAAATTATACAGACCTGTGGTATTTAAATACAGATGTGCCTGTTTCCCCAATACCAAAGGAAACAAAGAAGTAATTCCAAGTGTTTTCTACAGTCTTTTGTGTCAGTAGCTTTCTGCCAGTATAAGGCAAAAGCCCTCTGAGATGCGTGCTTATAAAGTAGATTGCCTGTTGCTTAGTACGGAAGGGTGAGTCATCTCTGAGATGCTTCCATGGAAGTCAAGTACACATGATGAAGTTCTTTCATGACCTTGGTACCTCGGTTCAAAGTCTCATGGAAATGACTTGTTAATTGTGTTTACTCTAGTTTATTTAGAGTAGCTTTTTCATCATGTACATTGTAACTCACCAAAGCTGTAAACAGTCCATCAATCACGTTTTCAGTCTCAGGTGGCTTGTTGAACTGCTGGTGGTTACAGACAGCGAATTGGCTGCAGTCAATTTTAGCGCATAACAAACATGATGTAAATTAATGGAAAGTTGAAGACAGGAAATTGTGACACTATAAGTGGTTGTGTAGGCAGACCCTTAAATTCATTTTAAGCAAGCATCTTTGCTTCTTTAAGCAAGATCATCTTTGGTGGCTGAACACTCTTGATTGTGCAGGATACTAAAGGGCCTGGACTTCGCAGCATTTTAAGAAAGATGGTTGTCTGTTAACTTCACTAACAGTTGAGGTACAAGGTGAGATTTCTTACACCTCTTTCCTCACCATTCCCTTTCCATTCCCTTACTACCACTTTTAAAGGTAGTGTATTTAAAAACAATTGGCTCTTACTTTCTTCATTTTTTTTGGATTCTGTTCCTGGTGAATAGATGTTCCAGTGACAGCACATCTCTCATTTTCTGGTGAGAGATGAGCCTTCCAGAAGTTCCCATTTAGCTGAAGAAGGCAGAGAGGAAAACCAGAAATATCAACAATGTGTTATGATGTAAGTGTGGGAACTCAGGAATAAAAAAAACAAAAACTAAGGATTTATAACTGGTACTGAAAAAACTTACAGCTTGAAGCTATGCTACTACTAAGCTCAGTGAGGCTAACGGTTGAGTAAATTGCATAGGATTGTAATCTTGCACTCAGTGGGGTTTTTATGTAAGCATACACAGAGTTGAATTGTTCACTAGGTAAATACTGAAAAGTAATTAATAGTTTATTTAATTTACTACAAATTGTGTTCAACTATGTTTTATTTACCAGGACGTGGGTGGCGTGGGTGGTTAAACCACAGAGCCTAGGACTTGCTGATCAGAAGGTTGGCAGTTCGAATCCCCGTGACGGGGTGAGCTCCCGTTGCTTGGTCCCTGCTCCTGCCAGCCTAGCAGTTCAAAAGCACGTCAAAGTGCAAGTAGATAAATAGGTACTGCTTCAGCGGGAAGGTAAACAACGTTTCTGTGTGCTACTCTGGTTCACCAGAGGTGGCTTAATCATGCTGGCCACATGACCCGGAAGCTGTACGCCAGCTCCCTTGGCCAATAAAGTGAGATGAGCGCCGCAACCCCAGAGTCGGTCATGACTGGACCTAATGGTCAGAGGTCCTTTTACCCTTTACTTTATGTTTTATTTAAGGTGGACCCATTGAAATTAACAGATCAAACTTATGCATGTTCATTAATTTCAGTGGGTCTATTCTGAGTATAACTTGGCTGACTACCACCCAAAGATATTTAGGATCATTGTACAACAATATTAGAGGCCTGTGTTCCAGCAGAGATGTTATAACAAAACAGAACTGGATTTTACCTAATCTCTCTTCAGTCCAATCCTATTCAGAGTTAGCCATGCCTAAGGCTGCAATCCTGTGCACACTTACCTAGGGGCAAGTCTCATTGAATACAGTGGAGCTTAGTTCTCAGTAGACATGATTAGGATTGCCACTCTTTTAAATCAAGAGGTTTTGGCACACCTAATTCTGCATTGGGTTACAGCCTTAATTGTACCAGGGATACAGATTGTGCCATATTGGATGCAATCATGTGTGCATTCTTATAGATGTTATCTTCAATTATAGCTTGGTTTATTTGAATTTACAACCAAAAAGGGGAAAACCTTTCAAAGTAACAGAATAATGGAACACTAAAAATTGCCGTGTAGTCCTAAGGGTTTCTCCAATATCCTTAAAATGTTAAATTCCTTATAATGATTTATGTGTTGCCAGCTTTCTTTGTGTGACAATAGTGCTGTTTTTCATCTAATTATAAAATTCTTATACCGCAGACTTTTTTTTGACATGATAAATATATTTCATTGTGTCTCTCTTTCAAAGAAACAAAGGGAAATATTGAAGCCCAAGTCCATTAATCATCTTTAATCAGCCCATCATTTATTGCCTTTTCAGAAATGAAAAGTATTTTCC